CCCCTTTTTCTTGAAATTCACCACACAGAAGGAAGTAACCCCTGTCTAAACGACTTTCCTTCTTTGAAAACTTTCGACTTGGATCTGGCTATAAACGTTCATTCTCTTAGTGACTCAAATAGTACAGCTAAAAATTCCGTTGTTGCAACATCCAGTTGCAGTCACTGCGAAACGACCAGTAGCCAAAACTGCGGAAACAACTAGATAACGTATCATATGTTTGAAAACGATATATAGGAACTTTGGAAACCACCGTAACCCTAAAGTTTGTTCTGGGACTGAGCTTCAGTGGGTATTTAAGGAGATGCTCAGATATGTTCAGAATAGTAGACCATTAGGTCACCTCTGGGACGCTTATACTCTTATGAGTAAAGGTTCAGCTGTTTAAAGCACTCTTTATAAGGCTTGAAGTTGAGTCCCCAAAATGATTTCGTGGCTCGCCGTTGGATACGTTCCGATAAGGACCTAGCCTTTCGGATTGAGGGAGAAAACAACATGTTTCCATACTCTAAATGGGGTCGAATAAAGCTGTTGAAGATAAAGTGTAAAATTCTATCGTCAAACTGGCCACAAAATGCACTTCAACGTTCCCAGTGAGGGATTTGCTCAAAGGCATTTTTTCCGTAGTTAGCGTAAGACTTCAGATCGTAGGGTATCAACATCCACAGATCTTTTTCGAACGACGATACCGCTAGAGGAGAGTTCCCCAAGCTATGTGCGTAATAAAGAACATGTCTCGGATGGAATAGTTTACACTATGAAGTGTTAAAAATAAGTCCGTTGTTATCCGCCCAACTTTTCAGATCCTCGTGAAGTTCCAGCTTGTCATGTTGGTTGCAAACGTCTCCCCAGAAATTCCTATTACCAGCGAAAAGTAATAAACTATACGGTACTTGCTGAGGAAAGCCATTCACATGAATTGAGGAGGGGAGAGGTTCTAGTACTGAACCCTAAAGGGAACCACTAGGACGTGATGTAGCCTGAGAAAAAGTGAAGTCTACAATGATCCTAAAGTGTCGACTATTCTAATTTGAAGTCAGCCAATCAATCAGTGATGGCCAGTTACACGTTCGTTTGAGCTTATTGAAGAGACATTTGTAGTTGACCCTATCAAAACTTCTGGGAAGTCAAGGTGTACGACATCTGCCTTCCTCGTTTGCGGCCAATACGGTTGTTCATCTGTCCACTACAGTCAGTGCGTTGACTGCTGGAGTGACCCTTCCTGGAACCATGCTGTTGAGGTGAAAAGAAGTTTGAGGATACTGAGTAGTCACTCAGACCACCGCATGTCGGGGACTCCATAATGTTTGTGGGTATTGGGAGAATCGCTACTGTCCGGTAGCAATGAGCATCCACATCGAGTTAAGGGTGGGCTACCCAGTCCATGTGTTGTAGATTGACACACAAAGCTGACAAGTTCAACTAACTGTCATTCTAAAGCACGTTGTTGGCAGCACATTTTAGCCTAATTTTCTTGGTAAAGATGAAGGCTATTTAATCATGACCACTTTTGCCCAGTGGAGCTCGGAATGAGAGGTTTGTAAATATGCAGCCTAAGTGTGATGGAGTCTATCCATTTCTGCAGCGAACTGCTGACTCCACATTTTTGAATAATCTCAGATCTTTAGTGAGGTTGGAGAACCGAGCTTCAGTAAGGTTGTCATTGCCAATGTACGTGTGGCCACATATGTTAATTTTAAGAAGATTGAAGTCCCCTAAAAACTGGATATGAGTGTATTGGAGACGGGTTGAACGGGATAGTCCCTCCAGCACACGTTTGTATTACACGGTGTTAGCAGTGGGTTTCCTGCAAATGACTCCAACCAGACTTCTCGAGGTGTTCGACAAACGCACTGAGCGTTACGCAGATTCATCGTGACTGATAAATTCTTAAGGTACACTTGACATTGGCAGTGATTGCTTTTTGTTTGAAACGCGTGCGCTTCTCCGTCTAGTTTTAATGAATGAGCTTGGGTGGATGGATTTATAACCTACCCACACAGGGTCTTCCGAGTTGGTAGCCTCTGTCTATTCTTCGTACTTTCCATGCTCTGAACAGTCTACAATTGGGATAATCAGTTCCAGTATGTTTTCCTGTTTGGTCCCTGCATCGTATGGTCTGTCCGGATGAATGTAGAGTCCAGTTGGAAGCCGACGTCTGTTGACAAAGAATACTTCGAGAGTGGCAGCAACCATTTGGAAGGTTGGAAATGTCACGTTCGTTACCCGGGATCTAGAGCCCCCGTTATTCATGGTAAGTTGCACTACTCGTTGAATCAATACATTCTTGCACTTGAAAGACTGTCTGATGAAATTCCACTCTGGAATATTGTAGTCTACATATTCAGGATCCGTGTTTCCTGAGACATCTTGCACAATGGTATTTCTCTCGAGATTCACTAAGGGATTTTCTAATGAGATTGAGCTCAGAACACGGTATATTATAAAGTATTCTTACGTCCTCCTGTGAATTCAGCAAGCGACTGGTCAGCAGAACATCGATTACATCAGCAGTGTTGGTGAGGGATATAAGAAGGAGTTTTGAATGATTTTGGTGTTTGAAATCCTTCCCAGGGGTAAGCTGTGTGACCACCAGTGGCTTATTTTGGGTGGTATACTCTTGTTCCGAAAGGGAATTTTCTCATAGCCCGTAAATATTTAACTACTGTATTTTTTTCATGTACTACGCTCACATGAAATCTTCTGAATGACCAGATTGTTCGGTTCTCAGCCAACAAAACTACATCCTCTGTTTGTTAGGGTTTTATTTCTTCTTTAAAAAAAAGATCTCAGTTTTTCGGAAAATTATTTAATTTGTGTTTTTAGGTTTTGGTCCTACTGCCTTTTGTCGAACAGCTCTTTTAGCTGTATGGCCTGGTGATGTTGTTTGTCTAAATATTCAATATAGTTTATAATCGTAATATTGATGATCGGTACCACACCCTTTCGAAACGTTGTTTTTTGGATAATCTGTGGGAAAGGACGGGTGTTTGCAAGAAAGCTAGAAACTATACAGAATTTAATATAATAGCGATTTCCTCTTGTTTATTAAAGTCCTGGAGTAAAACGAGTAACAGAAGACCAAGATATGGTACGATCATGAAGTATATTTTATACTTGCCAGTAGGATACGAGTTTGTGTGAAGCATACAGATAAACTATTAAGTGGACAAAATAAAATGTTCTTGACGTTTCACGGCAGATTCAAACAGTAACATCGTGCAATATTTACTATGTTGAGCAATGCGTGGAATGGTGCTACTATACTACATAGTTTTTTTATTTTAAGGCCTTGTTTCTTATTATATCTGTTTATCTTTCTCGAAACTCACTAGTCGAATTCCGTGTGATAAATGCTGGTCCTAGCAACCTTTTATGACCTACAACATATTCACTGATAAGTACGCAAGAAATGCTTTCTTGGAATAAAATGCCATATTCACTAATCTTAATGCGGCTGAGTGATAAGTCTAATAGAGAAGATATAAAAGGATAGAGACCGTACTTTAATATTGTTATTAATACTCACAAACTTGATCATACACAAGTGTAGAGCCAGCGAAATGTCACTAAGCCCTAGCCAAATCATCCGGCAGGTGGGTCATTGAATATCGAGCAAATCACCAGTGTAGATCGCCATCGTAGATGTCGAAATGATTAGAGGCCTACTCGAGTTAGACGTGAATGATGTGACAAACTAGCTAATGTCGAAGTCACACCTCATGGTCAGCACCCTATGTGGACTACCCCATCGACGTATCAAGGTACCATAGATGCTTTGAAGACTGTACAACACAGAGGATGTTATTACAGAAATATATTAGTTAAAGTAGTTACTATCGAAAGTAAGACCACTGCCGCACGGGTCAGTCCATGATATACGATTAACTGACGCGCGTTGGTTGTCCCTGACCTTGACGAGGATAGATGATTTGCTCGATATTCAATGACCCAACTGCCGGATGATTTGGCTAGGGTTTAGTGACATTTTGCTGGCCCTACACAAGTATTGTGAAAAAATCATTTTGGTGTTCATCACAATCGCAACTATACACGAGAGTTTTATTAGTGTTTACACAATATTTACCATACTTAAACAGGTTCTATATTATTTAGAAAAATATTAAGCTGACGTTAAAAACTATGTGTAAATAATTTAATATGTTAATAAAAGAGTAAACGGTGTTATGTGCATTACAAATAGAACTTGCAAAAAAATTATCGTATTAAGATTTTATGTTAGAAGTGGTAGTTTAATATTACGCGATGTTATCAGAGTAGCCACAGTATTAGTATATAGCGGGTGAGGGTAATCTACGGTGGGTAGTAACCACGAGGTGTGACCTCACTGCAAACTTAGAGGTCCCACTATTCCCCGTCCGACTCCACTAGGCCCCGACCATCAGTATAAGACGCTTAAACTGGTAACCTATAGAATGCCAATTCAAGATTCTTATTAGGGTAGCTGACAATAGTTCAGTTCGCTCATTTATTAAATATCTCCCTGTGGCGTTTCTGAGCAATAATCTAGACGAATAGTCCCAGTCAGTGGAAGGCGGTCTATAAAGGGTGTTACAGACTTAATACACTCTTCAGTCGAAGGTCAATGGAGCAAAAAGCGGAATAACGTAGACAGTGTTTTTAATTTAAACCACAAAAGTTAAGGATGTATCAAGTAATTACGAGTATAAGTTAGTCAAAACTAGTACGAATAAAGGAGACTTCGGGCGCAAATACAATCACACATATGATGTCTTACAAAAGGTGAATATATGATATTTATTTTAGCCATAAAAGTGATTAAATCGACATGTTATTAGACACCTCTCTTCATTAACGGACTAATTGACATCAGCTCCCGAAAGCATCCAATAACTAGAAAAATAAATTTCGATTGAGTTAATAACTGTTTGCTAGTGTGAATGGTACATTTTTGTTCACAAAGAGCCTTTGTTAAATCGCTTCGATTACTAAAGAATGATTTTATCAAGTTGCGTAGATTTTCATTCTGCCTATTACGAATAAAATGAGAAAAACAATGTTGTTCTATTTTTTTGATATAATTCCTTATATGGGAAAAAGGTTTTTCGAAATAGGTTGCAATACTCATTATTCCATCGATATGTATTGTTGCGCGTATTATGGTATTAGCGCTGCACCCAATAAATTAATGTCGGCGCGACTTCACCTCGCTTAGGATTTCTAGTTCATTTCCTCAACCTTCTAATGGCTCTTTCAGGGTCGAAGGAGTTCGTCGATATGCTGCTAGCTCGGGAATTTACAAGGTACTTAGTTTCCCATCTTAATATGTAGTAATAGTGCTGATGATCAGGTACTTATTATGAATGGTTGTGATGTTAGTGGACATAGTTTTAAAGAGAATGGTTTCGCAAAACCCGTTTTGGTACGATCAAAAGACGGTCTAAGAATTAAGGTCCCGCTAGACTCATTCTCTCATACAGATTTAACCAGGTTTATAGGTACCGGAAGTCCATAAAAGTTATCGGTTTTAGATCCTAGTATCCAGGTTGATGTCATCGATGTTCGTCAGCAAGTCGAGATACAAATGACGCTCCAAGAACTGGTTGACCACTTTTCCTCACCTCGTCGACAGGTATTGTTAAACATGCTGAGTCTGGAGTTTTCAAGAACCAGGTAACATATGTTGCCTTTACATTAAAAGTAGCCTGGCAAAGTTTGTACATCCTCCGCATGTCGTTTCGGAACTTAGTCTTGTCACAACCTGTTGGCCGGAAGATGACCCTAACGACCTTAAAGATGTCGAATTTATCGGCGAGACTGCACCAACTGTCCAGAAATACTGTCTTTTAAGTATGAAAGGCAGTTATACTGACTTCCATATAGATTTCGGTGGATCATCTGTCTGGTACCATGTTATGTGGGTAGGTTTTTCTATTCAGAGTGAGGTCTATGAGCATAGGGTGAAAAAGTGTTTTACTTGATGCCGCCTACACCCGAATTCGTTTCTGCTTATTGGCGATGGTGTATGAGCAGCGATCATAGGGCGACATTCTTCCCGGACTTTGTTGCTAGTCTTCGGGAGAAAGGTAAGCATTCGTCTGTGCATTGTGGAACATAGCTCCGAATTACTTTTCTAGAATCGACTAGTAACGTAAATAGACCCACAGTTTACTGCCTTCACATTTTACCCGGCCAAACAATCTTCTTGCCATCTGGTTGGATCCACGCTGTTTACACGCCTTCTGACTGTCTAGTTTTTGGAGGAAATTTCCTGAGTGGATTGCATGTATCTATGCAGCTCAGGTAGGTTACTGAAATATATTTAAATGATCTTATTACTTGCTTCATATTTTAACTGTGATTAATTATTGTTTCATAAAAGTTCAGATGGTTATATTTTAGGACGTTAACTATTCACTTCGGTTTTAAAATAATAAAATGGGGTTTAGTGACGTAGTTCTGAACTTGTTATTGGTCAGCATTGATTATTGTACGGTCCCAATGCTGGATATCCATGCCGATATATTGTCTAGGATTCTGCGCAAAAAATTAGGATTATACGTGCTAGACAATTGTCCCACCTCATATGGCACTGCCTAATGTATGGTTCTGTTAGGATTTTATTATAAAAGATAACGAGTTTATAAAGTCAATTAGTTAACATTTTCTGGGGATTTATAAACTTCGTGAGTTATGGAAAATTTTGACTTGTTTTTACACGCTATTCATGAAACAAGTACACATTTGACTACTGTGATCTAAATCACGGTGTCAGGAAAGTATTTCGCAGCTCCCCGTATCGATGCAGTGTAGCCGAGGTCAGGTCTCAATAAAAATTCGGAATCATTTTTGTTTTTTGACAGAGACTAACTCTATTTAAGTCCAAGATAAATGTAATCCCTGTGTTCGATTTTCCTTTAAATGATTGGTTTACTAATCTTTGAAATATATCACAGCTACCCAATGTCTCAACTTTCCATATATGTGGATATACAGAGTTAGGTTTAACAAGAACAACACTATTTTGTCTTGCCGATTTAGTAAGGTAAGGTAAGGTTAGTTTTCAGTTTATCCAACTTCATAGCAATATCCTAGTTTCTTGTATCCGATGGATATTAACCAGCCATAGTGAAAAACCGTTTTGTCCTGTGGCTAGATTTTATACTGTTCAAAAACTGTTAATGACAAGAGGTGAGTAACAGCGATCATCCCGACTTTTCGACGAATTACTTAATCATTTTGCTGCTCTGCCCAACTCGTGGTCACATCATATTATGTCTTGATTCTTAGTAAGTTTGGTCGATTTTAGCGGGGCTTGTTCGTCATATTTGAGTTCCAACTACTTTACAAGAGATCTGAACGAAATGTTAATCAAAGCATTTTTTTCAAGCGCTTATTGAATTGTCTAGACAAATATCATACTAAAAACCGTTGCGTGATATTCATCTTTGAGATGAACACCTAGTCATTTTGTTGCTTCACTGAAAACATAAGTCTGTATTTACGGGTTGAGATTTTATGTGGTACATTTAGTTGTAGACAGTCACTGACAGCCGATGACATAGTTCTATTTGGTGATGACGCTGACAAAATACAATCTTCTGACCACTCTAAGGAACAAAGCAGGCATGTTCGGAATGTGATTCTCCCCCTCGAAATGCAAAATGTTGCTTCAGGATTGGGTGGCATCGACACCCGAACTAATGATAGGGAGTGAGGTAGTTGAGCGTGTCGATCTCTTCACGTATCTTGGAAGTCTCATCAGCCCTTGTGGTTTGGTGTGTGACGAAATCTCAGCACGGATACAGAGGGCTCAACTAGCTTGCGTCATTTATGACGTAGGTGAGATATCCGTTTCCCAACCAAAGGATGGGTTTACTGCACAGCAGTTCGTTCCGTTCTACTTTATGGCTGCGAAATATGGCCGATAAGAGTAGAAGATATTCGTAGGTTACTAGTATTCGTTCACAGATGTCTTCGAAGCATTGATCGTATATCCTGGGACCACCGAGTAAGTAATTCAGTTGTTAGGAAACAGGTACTAGGTAATGATGGCAAAGCAATTGATGAGGCAGTGAAACTTCATCAGTTGGGATGGCTGGGACACGTGTTACCTATGCCTAACCATCGACTACCCCGACGTGCCATGTTTCATGGTGTAGAAGTGGGATGGAAGAAAACTAGAGGCGGCCAAACCAAAACATGGCACAAATCCATGAAGTTGCCGACAAGTGAACTGAGCCATGTTGGTAGGTGTAGACTACCTGGTTGGGATCCGCGAGACGATAGCAACCGATAGTTAGAGACCTTGAATGACATGGCTCAAAATCGTTTGCAATGGCGCAGGTGCATCCACTCTTTGTGTCCTCCTAAATTCTAATTTTCTGAATTCTTCATGTCCCTTTTTTTCTCTTCCCAAATTTATTTCACTGGACTATACTCTTTGAATGACATCTTCAAACCCTAATCTTATACTCTTACTACCTTTACCACTACGGGATTTGAATTGACAATTGTATTTCTGTGCTAATGTGGTATGGCAACTCGAACTGATGTACGTAAGTACGAAGTTCTACGTTTTTGCCTGACTTTAGACAGCCACTGTATTCTGCGGGTTAAGCCATGGAAATTGTCTTACCTCCATGTCGTATAGATTGTGGTAACACAATTAATTTACAACCAACCATGCTAGAGTTTGGCTAGCAGAGCTTACTGTTTCATTTGATTTAAGTTGTAAGCATTAAAAGTCAAACAGATTTGAAGCACTGTTGTAACGAGTCATGAAAACTAGTTAGAAATGAAAATTATTGAAACTGGGAAATGTTGGTTGAAACGAACAGTTATTGAGAATTGGGAAGAAATAGTCTGAAGGACGTAGATAGATTACGAGTGGCCCATCATATACACTTGGTTCTAATATCATTTGGTTACTAAATAACCTTTTATTCTGATTCTTTAGCTTAGTTTGTGTTGTTATTACTGTAGAATTTATCGCATGGAACAAAAATGTAAAACTCCAATGAAATTTCTGTTCCCTAATTTTGAGAAGGTTCACTGGTTTTATAGCCAATGTCTCCTGGACAGACTAACTAGTAAGTATCTCAGTCAATATATTTCAGCGATATAGTTTATTCGATTATTGTGCCACATATTTCATACTCTCTAACAACACCAAATTTTTAAAATTTTCACTATTATTGTAGACAACTTAACTGATGGCGAAAATCCCGTTATTTTCGACGTAGAGGCGGCTGAATGCTTGGCTAAAGTTCTTCCTTTGTGGTATTCTAAAAGACATATGGTAACTGAATGTTTTATAACAAACTACACTCCTCATTTTAGATGATGTTACTGCTCTTTTTTATTTATTCTCCATAATTTTGGATTGTTAAATATCACTGAATGATCATCATGAAAGGTTTGAAATCTTAATTATAATAGAAAGTCTAAGTTTTTCACCACTTATAAAACTCGATGTATAGTTGTGTAATGCGGTGTAATTTCTAACCTGTGTTCCCACAATCAATGTAGGATTTCATTCAGAAGTTAATTGGGTACTTGGAAAATCCAATTAGGTCTTCAAAATTGATAATGGAAGAATATAACCGCACAGTTTTTGAACGATGTCAACAACTCCGAAAGCGGACCATTTATGGGACAGAAGTAGTGCGTCGCACTTGTGGTTCAGGTGTTCAGATTCGAATTTCTATATTATTGGGTCATATTTATACCAATAATGTCTTATGATGTAAATTCTATTGGAACTCGCTTAGAAACAACTTTCCACCGTATATCGTTGAGTCTGTTTATATTTGCTGAATGCCTCATTCCAAGTTATTAATCTCAAGTATTTCTTCAATCATCTGGCTTCACCATTCATAAGTTTTGTATTACTTAGTAGTGTCTAATAAATTACGGAGTTTACGTCTATTTATATACGTAAGTGCTCAGCTGCACGTACCTGCGCTTTACTGAATCTCATCTAAGATCTCTCGTTTCTAGGTTACACTGCTAGTTGTTAGTACATAATGGAAAAATTTTGTCAAGGAAAATATATAAACATCTGTGCAGCTAGTTGATTTGCTAATGTTCTAATCAACGCATATCAACCAATAGTAGGAAATTTGTTGTGACTTTATGACCTGCTGGTTAATCTGTTTGCCAATAAAAATACGACTTATTTGCTCGTATACTGTACTAAACTAATGACGTCCGACTGGTATGATCAGCCTGGCGTCCCATTGGCCCGTTGCCCGTCCAGCTGAGTCCAGAATGCTAATAACAGCCTCCACTATGCGAATCACTTATTTCACACATACTAGGTTTACATATCAACCAAATAGACCGCAACGCATCATAAAATATAAAATGACTCTCGTACACAATATAGCCAAAGGTGGCTGTGAGCGTGGGAGACAGTAATTAATAAACTGAGTATAACATAAGACCAGTAAATTGTACGATAATAATCTATAGGTCAAAATGAAGCTTATAATAACGGGAATATAGATACATACAATCTAGTTACTGAATAGTTATACCATAAGAATATATAAATAATATTAGTCCATTAATAGGTCTCAGAAGTTACTCGTAATTTAATCCTCACTAGGATATAACAAAATTCTTAGGTATTATATCCTACCCTCGTGTCTTCTCTAACTTCTTGGAGATATAATCAGGGTTTTCTTAATACATAGTTATCTGAAATCTTTTAAACTTAATTTATTTTAGTTATGTGACAATTTTCCCTTCCGTTGAAAGAGTCATCCCTTAAGAGGTCTAAACAACTTTCCATTTAAATGGTAGTAAGTGTCGAATTTTGATACTGCTTTTGAAATCACATTGTCTCACCCGAGAAACTGTGGTCTTCACAAATAAATATTTATTGAAACGGTTATGGACTGTTAAATACAAAGTTGTAAATACAACTGTTGACACTTGTTATGATAAAACTATTTTGTGTCAAAACTGCAGATTTGTAATTATCGGTGTTTTTTCTCAAGAAATCGCCAGTTTAAGCACCAATTGTTGTATAAATAAGGACATTCAGTTTTCCAGTCGTATCAGTGACTGCATACTTCATTGTTGGTGTTCATAGGTTGACCATAACTTATGATTGGGAAGTTTAAATGGATCCGTTATCTACTTTTCTGGATCTCGGACTTATCAATACCCTATAATTTTTCTTCTACTTCATTGTTTTTAACATAGTTTTGTGTATTTTTTTACCCTCTTATTTCCCTTACTGTGTTCTGTTGTGAATTGTAGCAGTTTAAAAAAGTGCACAAATTTATTATCCAGGTGATTTATCATATTTGTTTAGAGCAGTATGGTGATAGTATATAAGTGTTGGTTCATTCACTTGTACGTGTTTTCCTGACTTTTCTTTAGTTTACCGTTTTCATTGAGAATCATCTTATCTTCCCGGTTTTCATTTATTTTAAGCTCCCACCAGAAGAAAGAGATTACTTTCTTCCGAATCAAAGTCAGTTAGACATGTTATGTCCAAGTCTCATTGAAAGACTGTCTGAGGTCGTAAATTCAATATTATCACATTCAACGAAAAACTCAGGTTTTTTAGCAGATTATTCCAAATCAGAAATATTTTCAAAGCATTCCAAGTGAGTTGTTACTCCTTAGTTTCTGCTTCACAAATCAGTTTACGCTTTAAATTTTCACCACTTTTTCATTGAAATAATTGGGTGGACATTTAAGATCTCTCTAATTTTATTGGCCTCTCTGTGTGATGATTACATTGTTTACCGGTAAGCCTCAAAATCTCACAACTCCAGCTTTCGGTTTGAATTAAAAATTTAGATAACAGTAGTAGTTCAGGGTTATAAAAATTAATAATTACAAATCACATAATTTAAAAAGTCAAGAACCATCATTCATTTTTTATTTTCATCCTAGAATGTACTACTTTCTAATACAGGTAGTATGAAAATAATAAGCCCAACAAAGTGATTTGACTTATATTCTTTGTAGTCCACTGAAATCAATTACATGCTTCATAGTAGATTTACTTCAGATAATTGATATTATCCCTCAATACCGCATTTAAGATTAACCATATAATATATCTGCGATTCAAACAGAAATCTCACTATTAACATAAACTTTTCTTAGCAATTTTCCTCTTCTAAATAATTGGATAAGTTTCCGTCAGACTGATACTCCCTAACTTTATCATATTTGTAGATTTGAATATATCATATAACTTCTCTCCCATGTTTTCGGTTGTAGATCTAATGGACGAGCAATTGAAAGCTGCTCAAATGCTAAAAGTATAGAATGTTTGAACCGTGAGTTAGGTAAGGAAACTAAATGGGAACTTAAAGATAGACATATTGGAGGTCTAGGCTGGATGCCAAATAGACAAACTTATTCCAAAAATTTACGTGAACCAAAGAGCTTGATAAAAGGAAATGAGAACGAAAAACATGTGATTACTGATGATGTAGATATCCTTGAAGCACTACCGGGTTTGGAAAAAAGTCGATTAATCGGAGACCATTGTATGTATGAATGATTATTTATGTATGCTTAATATTATTCTTTCTTTCATTGTATAACTGATATTAACTGATTAATTTTCAGCTACGTATTATTTATATTAGTAAAAAGACAACCGATGGATTAGAGATTCCAAATTTCTTTTATAGATTGCGTTGGTTATCTCCTATCACCAGTTTTATCGTCTTTGATATAATGATTATCCTCGGAATTTTACCTGGTTTTCAGTTAGTCATAATTAATGTAGAGCCCACCACAAACGTGCATTACCCCAATTTGTCATCCCACAGTACAACGAGGAAAATTTCACAAGATATGTAGCAAGGAGACTAAATAATGTAGTAGAAATGATGAGATATACTAAATAGTGAAGATGGTTCTAAAAGACAGCAAGGTATGTCTGGATGAGTACTAGAACTCAACACCTGAATGAAGATAAAAAGTGGATCCATCTACTTCACTGGGATCAATTCTGAACCATGCCACCCAATGTCTTTTACTACGGATCATAGTTATCACTCTGACAACAGCCAGGCAGTCTAAACCTACCAATACTGCTTAGACCAATAATCAATGACTTCATGGACTGATGCCAAGTCTTAGTTTGGCTTCTCCCAGCTGTCCTCCAACCTACTTCTACACCAGCTATTGACGTTCAACGAGACAGGTGAAGTTTGGGATACTGCTACGTTTGGAGAGATTACAATATCGCCTAAAACATGCGAACGGAACGAAAGTCAGCAATACTTCAACAGGACAAGCTATGCTATTCCACTGTACCCTTACCCTGCTAACTAGAGATGGAAGACCAGATTCAGTCGAATGAAATGCATATTACCCGGGCAGTCGGAAGCACGAGCGAACAAACACACAACTCATGCACATATATACAGTACAAAAGTATTCTTGGAAAACGTCACAAAACAGCTTACTAAAAGAGAAAACGAACCATTTAAGGTCCTTCCATGTGGGAAATGCTGAAGAGGAAATTAGGAAGACACGTCGGGGGTGGTTAGGACATACCTTGCAGAAACCATTAATTGCATCATGAGGTAAGCCCTAACTTCGAATCCTGAAAGGAAACGGAAAAGAGGAAGGCCGAAGAACACACTACGTTGGGAATTGGAAGCACGCATGAAAAGGATGAATAGCAACTGGAAAGGATTGTCCAGGACAGAGTTGGATGGAGAATGCTGATGGGCGGCTATGCTCCTCCACGAGGGGTAACGCTTGCAAGTAATGTGGGAAATACAGGTAAAGTAGGTGATTTTGACGCGAAAATGAGAAATTCAAATTCCCAAAATAAAATTGTGAAAATGAGACGTTTACCAAATGGTTCCTGGCGACCTAGCTTCCCCAACTGATACGTATTACTTTTCTCAATCACTTCAGTTGATAAAGATTTATTAACTCATCAGCCAATTTAGCATCTTTACCCAGTACTCTTTGTTTAATCTCAACATCTTCCACTAGATTGTCCCAGCACACACAAGCGCTACTTCGAAGACAGCCATCACCAAATACTTTCAGCATGCGGACATTTCATGCTTTCCTAGGCTACGTTTCACAGTCAGAGTAGGAGAGATCAAACTGATGTGGAGCATATTCGTTATTTAGTTGGGAGACGGACACCTCACCTAAATGACAAGTGACTCAAGTTGGAAAATGTTAGCCGGGATTTCGTCAGTTGTCAACTCACTTGAGCTGATCAAATTTCCAAGAAAAGTGGAGTGGTCAGCGCACTCAACTACTTCACTTTTTATAACCAATCTAGACAATGGGGGAGAGAAATACATCCCTAATATACGTGCTTTGTTACTGAAGGTGATCAAAAAAGTTCTAATTTCTTCAACATTTTCACTAAACAGGGCCATATCATCTGTACACGCCATGTTATTAAGTTGGTTTCCAGGATGCAAACCAATCCCTAAAAAGTCAAATGAAGAAAGAGCGATTTTTAATGAAGAGATTTGTGATGAAACCAAATAAAAAGTAGGGTAGTAAACAACCTTGACAAACACTGATAATTGTTATTCATAAGCTCTGGATTGGATGATGTTCGGCGGCCTGCTTGATCATCTGGGGTACCTGTTCCTGCCATCTAGATATTTCAACAAGTTATCTATTTTTGTTTGTTTTAATATATCATTATGTTTATTAATCGCACAACCTATTCTGCTGCGTTTCTGAAAAGTGTACAACCTTTCGTTGTCAAAGTTACAAACAACTCAATAAGAGACAATGTGGTTGCTGGCAATATACAACGAAAAGAATGCACATTATTCAGATGTTCATTTAGTGAACTGCTAACATCTAACTGGCGATCACTCAATATTTATCGCCAGGACCGACGAAGAAGAAAGAAACGGAAACTTGTTGAAATACTTTACGCTGAGAATTCTATATTGTACCAAAAATATAATATTGAATAAAGCTGATAATAATAATAATAATAATAATTAATGTTCAGGTAGAGAGCCTTCATAAAGTTAATGTACTTCACTAGTGTACCTCTCAATGGCAAACATTGCCACAAAGTTTTTTAGTTAACTGAGTCGAATGGGACCTTAGTGTTAAAATTAAGCATAAAGAGGGATAATGGGTAACACTGACGAACTTATTTCCATCATTGTGTTTATTCTGTGATGAAAAGGTAAAGAATACTAGATAACTAAATAGCTAATTAAAATTGTCTGTATTCTACATTCGTTATCTTATTTTTAAACATCTTGAGTCGAGAAAAGGTGAAAATAAAAACGTAAACCAATATAACTAATATTGTTGACAAAATGTGAAGGTGGTTTTCATATTTCAAACGTTTCTAACTTGTACAGAAATGAAAGAAAATATGATTTCAACCTTGTACATAAAGTCTTGTTGCTGCTGAATTGTTCCCCAGGTACTGTTTCAGACCTTCTGTCTTAAATCAGGAAGATCAAGTCATATGGGTATTGTTTAATCACTTATAAATTTGTAGGCTATGATGAAACTATAATTCCCGGGTTTCAGTATTTGACATTTCAATATCGTATTACAATGATAAATTCCTTGTCGACTTACATTTGACCTGTCAAGTAGTATCTCCATTTATTATTCACAAAATATGGTATTGTAGTGAACGAGAACACGAATGAGGACAATCGAATGTATTTGAACACAAAATTACAGAACATTTTAGTAAAATCTGAGAACCATATAGTAAATACTTAATTTGCAAAATATCAATCAATCGTCTCACACTTCATTGTTCTTTCGTTTCCACACTAATCATTCTTTGTTCTCGTTCTGTTTTCTTTGATCTTCTTAACCTTCTGCCGCCAGACATATTACTTTCTATTGATAATACATACTACTTATATCTATCGACATCAGTAGCACGCCACAGTATATCTGTTTATTCATTTACTAAAGTTTAACTGAAGGTTATACAAAATTTGTTTTACATGTAAGAGAAGGTTTTGTTGTCAGTTTCTTATTAAATGTTACTTATCATAATTCCTAATTATGGTGTTGATATAATTTGCCACATATTACATTTATAAAATTAAGATATGGAAACATTTTATCGATAATTTAAATCATTCAAATACAAATTAAGGAACAAGACGGATCAAACACTCTTTGATCTATTTATAAAACTATTTGACCTTAACTACTCTTTATGCTAATAAAAACTAAATTTATGAGAGATACTCGGTGTATCTGTTGTTTAAATTAGCAAGAGTGGGATTAAAGTATCTCCATAATCTGTTTTATGAGTTCAAGTGTAACGTTCACACTACAAATAGTGATGCCTTCTCATTTTATTTTTTTCGGAGTGAGATGGATAAAAGGTGAATGTTTATAACAGATAATTAAATTGACTGTAGTAGATATTCAGCCTTTCGCTCTATTTTCCGGTGGTTTTATGAATGATTGAGACTTGTAATAGCATCATGTTTGTAATTCGGAACTAATCTTTCTATGTAACTTTGAGTAAAATGATATTTTCTTCACCGTCTACTCATAATAATATTTTTTTAAACAGATTATTTGACATTAAGTGACTCAGAAGGTGATGATGGCGACAACGTTAGGATGAAATCAAAAGCCGAATGTTCGCTAACAAAAAAACAGAAGGGGATATCTACTCCATACCAAGCAAGTAGGAAGAGAAAAACTAAGAATAATGATGATGATCCAACTTGGAGTATGCCTAGTAGGTTGAATATTTGTTTTTGCTATTTAAAAAATTTTCACTGGGTAATTTATTCGCCTCCGTGTGAACATTTGTCAGTATTTGAGCAAATAGTTTGACAAAAATTGGGCTCCTAGTGTATAGAGGACATTCTATGTAAAAAAAAATGTATTAAAATGATCTCATCGATTGAAATTTAAATGATTCGACTATTCCAATTAAAGAAGTTCAAACCAGAGTACCAGATGGAGCGTTAGAGTGATCTAAATTTCGATTGCTGAGATCATTCAAATATAATTGTTTCATTTAACGCTATTCGCCTTTAGTTTGAAATTGCGCAATATTACTTATCTTCGACTTTCAAAAATCTGTCTTCATTTCCTGATGCGGACGTTCTACCATTGATCACTGGCTGTCATTCAAACAATATAAATGTTACAAATTGAAATTCTTGATACAATTGAGATTGTTTAGTTCCATTAATTTTAGGGATTAACATAACATTCAAGTAATTTTTACTGCATACTAATTGTGATTATTTACGAGCATTCGTTTTTGATCCTAGATACTTTTTAGTCATACAAGCCATAATTTTTCGCAAGAACTTAGTGTATTTTCTTTGCGGAACGAGTTATTTTCATATACAGAAAATATTTCTGTAAGTTCAATTATATTCAAGTAGGTTGGTTGGTATTTTTCCTGAAATCTGCCACAACTCATGCATTCACTAGTTGATTTTGACGTAATTGATATACCATGCAATTGTTTCGCTTTACAAATGTAAACAGCAAATTACGTCATTCTCGCTTTGTTGGAGTACTTAATATAAGATATTTTCCCAGTAGAAATCAAATACAAGGAAACATGTATCAATCCAAAAAATCCGTTCATACTCCATAAGTTCTTATCGTTTCACTCTTATCTGTATATAATAGCTTTAGCAGTTAAGGCGTATTGTTGATGAATTTTAACCGTTATAGTAAAGGAATTTATCAGTCTAGAACTACATCATTAATATGTTAACTTGTATTTATAATTAATTCATACTGGCTACTTTCATCAACATTTACTAATAAGGTTAATAAATTTTAATTAGTATAAGTTTCCATCACTATCATAATTCTTTCCGAAACAAGAAAATCAGAAAAGATTAAAAACTTAATTGTTCACTTAAATAGTATTAGAAGGCTATCTATTCGTAAAAAATAGGGGAGTGATTACTAATGAATCACTCCTTCTGATCCTAAAGTGTGTCAGTTAACGTACCTGACCATCAGTTTATGCTTGCCTATGTATATTGTTTTAGTTTGGGCATTTCAATGCAGTGTTGACTAAATTTACAGTCCAAACCTTTTCACTGATTTAGCAATCTTCCCAGTCTACTATTTCAGTTGATAGAATTCATCAGGCTTTTTAATTGTCGGATTTTTTAAAATATATCCTAATATACTCAGTTGTCATTTACTTACATCCTCCAATTGAACATTGAAATTACTGTTAGCTTAGTTCCATCAGTTTTTGTAAGTATTATGAAGAACGCTCAAGAGGTTTAAGTGTTCTCAGATGTTATGGTTTATATTATCAAAAAACTGAGTTACTGTATCTCAATAGCTAAGTGCATCTACGATCACCAGAATATACGTTGTTGTTTTTCTTCCTGTTACATTTAAAGATTTTCTGTAATGTATTTATGCATATATATAGTATGACATCTGGTTGTGGTACAAGTTAATCGGGCTTTAATATAATCTCATTCGACCTACAGGCTTTAAAGTAAGAATCTTTCCATAAAGCTAACAGTATTTAGTATTCCTTTCACATAGGTGTAGAAATAGATTCTCATCTATCTACCCTTATCATGTAAGTACTTAGTCAGTCTTCAAGCACAATGGGAACGGAAATATAGTTATGAGCACATATTCTATTCTTCTTACTCCTATTTTCAATAGTCTTTTAAATTGTAAAAAATGTCTTGTCTATTCTGAAAATAATATGTTTCTAGTTTAACATCAGCAACTGGTCGTACATTTATCTTTTTCTACATTATTTTACTTTACAGGTCCTACGCGTCGCAGGTTTGGTACAACTGAATGGAAGTCAAAGAGTTCAAGACTTGTTGTTTCTAATTTAAAAAGAGATAAGAAGTCATTGGTAAATGCTTCTAGTGTTTAACTAATATAATTTTTGACTATTCAACGCGATTTCCTATCCACAAATGATACTGTTGGGACATATTTAAACTAGTCTAGATCATGTAATAATTAATTTGTTAGTAAATATCCAAGCTCTATTTCCTGTTGTTATCATTGTTTGGTTTTATAAACACTAAGTATGACAAGAGCAATATAAGCTGTAAATTTATTAAACTAGTCAAGGTATTGAGGTTATCTAACACTCGACCCACTTAACTAGTATTTTTAGTTTGATGAACTTGACAACTTGAGGTAACCCATTCAGAGTTCTTTATTCTTTCCAATTCCTTTTCTCCCTTTTTTAGAACATGATGAGTCAATGATTACAACTGACCACATTCAGGCGGTTACTCCGTGTTATGTTGTCGAGATGTAGCCTATTCACTGTTGATGTTTTTTCAATATTCTTCACTTGTTTTAGCCTGTTTTTGAGAACTTATCACTAAATCCTCTATTGTCGTGGCTACTATCAAACTGCTTATTCTAATAAGTTTAAACAGTTAAGAATCGTCTATTACAGTTTCTTATGCATTAGAGTGGCTACACAATTCACATGAACAGTCACAAGGAAACCCCTGTTATATTCTCCAGAAACCCGTCAACTCAGTCCCCAACAAATAAAAAATAACGAAGGAATTTTTTCAAAACCTCTACAGGCGATAACAGTAAAAAATACGTTGATACTTATAGAGAAATCAGAAGTGTACTTGAAAACTATTCAATAGGAGCACGAGTTGAAAAACACCAGCTTCAATTCAATAGTACACATGCGCCCTAGGATCTTAAAGAAGCAAATTGCTTATGAGCCTGCTTTTTCTTTTCACTACCATGATACTACACATCCCTTCATTGCTCTATCTTTTTATGGGTTAGGCCTTTACGTTAAAAGGTTTAGAGAATGGTCGTATCTCATAATCAGTATCATAGTCTGCATAACATTAGGAATAAAAAAATATCTTTTTCAAAAAGTTTTGAACAAGAAAGAACAACTAAACTATTCTGTAGAATATATTCTTGTATTTTTAATCCGAAGTCTCGTGTGAATTTCTAATGGTATCTGAATTAACATAGTATGTTTGATCAAGAACACTTTATTTCTCAAGTTACTTATCTTCACTGTGGTTAATCGTAGCATGATATGGTTATATACATTAATGTTTATTATTTACTAAGTTAATGGTTGTATGGATTATCGACTAATAAATTATTTCAATAGTTGGGATCATGAGTCAATTGAAACTAGACCACCATAGTAAACCTGGAAGCACTGGACCGTTTCGTCCTATTGCGGGACTCCTCAGTAGTGTGCACCTGCGATCCCGCCTTGCGAGATTCGAACCCAGGCGCGGTCATGGATACGCACTGCTAAGAAGTCTCACAATAGGACGAAACGGTCGGCCAGTGCTTCCAGGCTTACCTTGGTGGTCTAGCTTCAACTAACTCATGATCTCAACTATTGAAATTACCATACTATCCACAAAGACCTATTCTGATATCAATAGATTATTCTTTAAAATGTTTATATTCCTTTGAGTATTTTATAAAATTTTATTTATTAAAACAATGCAGTAGTGCAAACTGTCTCCGTGTGCATGGAATGCATGACTTTTTGTTATGGAACACTTCACTTTTCATTTATTTTCTACAGCACCCTCTACTCAGTGAAGTGAATCCATCATCATCAGGCTCGAGTGCTTTAAAACCCAGAGGTTAGTATGAACCAATTATAGTCTGTGGATTTTCACTTCTTCCTCTCGGTAGTTATTAGTTCATTTCCTGGTTAAACTAATTTGATTTAACCAGATTCATAATGTTAACAAACATTGTAGTGTACAAATATGTTATTGTTTACTGAATTGTAGCAGGACTAATAACAACCCAGTATAATTTGATTTATTTAGTTTAACTGACAGTAAATCTGTCTATTTTTCTGCTCTTTGAACAAAGATTATTGTCAGCATAGTTAAAGATACATAAATAAAACAGTACAATATTTATTACATAGTTTTGAATGGTATTTTTTTTAAATCATACGAGTTGTAATCATAGTAACAAATTTTTGCGTTGTTGTCAGTTGGGAACCTTTGTTCTTTGAAATAAAAACGGGACATTTTTCTAAAAGAGAAACTAAGGACGCTTTATACTGACATTTAGCTACCTTTAAAATTCCTAGTGTTACAGATGTCATGGATTTCATTGGATATATATATATATATATATATATATATATATATATACCTCTGTTACTATTGTGCTGTAAATTGAAACAATTAATTTGATTGGTTTTTAATTACCACTGAGTCATGAATGTGTCCGTTTAGTCGTTGTTCTTTTTGTGTCTTAATTTTAAGAGATGGCAACAAGAATCTATTGTCTTGTTTATTTACTCCTTTTTTTCATATTTATTTGTCCTAATTTTCTTGTTGCTTTCCTTTCCTTTCTTCCCTCTTTTATCCCAATAGATTCTTCAACATTGCGTCCGCATATGACAGTAAAAACACAAAAACCACGAACTAAACGCAATACAACAGTTAGACAACGTCTTGCTAAACGTTTAGGTATTTAATTCATTTTAGCAAAGCATGGATGTTATTTATTTACATATTGTCTATTTGTATGCTTATCAATTACAAGTTTACTAATATTATTCAATACTATCAGTGGTAACTCTAATTTTATACTTTTTTCTACCTACATATATAAAGTGAATTATTTGGACCGTATAGATTTGTAAAATTTATTTCCTCTCTACTAACGATATCTATATACATGTATACATATACACACTCATGTTAGCAATTCTTATCCGAATGTAGTATAATATGGTCGTGATCTAAGGAATTTTTCAAATAACCAGTTTTATTATTGTTATTACTAACTGTAGTAGCGGTATTACTATTAACAAGTGCAGCATACTTATCATGCATACAATGACCTTTTTTTAACCATATTTCAAATAGTTCTTCTGAGTTATTTTTTATTCTTATTTGTTCACTAATAATGCCATTCAATTTGTGTCCCATACTTTTATCTCCTTATTTTAGTTATATTTTAAATTTGAGAAATGTAAACTTTAATTGCATTTATGTATAATCATGCTGATTATGAAATAGTTAAATAACTGACTGTTTCCCTCCAACTTCATCCATTTCTTCGTGTAATTTCATTAATTCCACCTCATCATTATTCACATATCTCATCCTCATTTTCTCTAGATCTCCAGGATCATTCATGGAATATGTTTTAAAAGGTATATATATATATATATATATATATATATATATATATATATATATTAGCATCATTCGGCTACTCAGTAATAGTAAGAATCTGTTTTATTAGGTATATTCTCTTGTTTATCACGTTTGTTTTTTAGTGGTTTTTTTGGTTACTTGTTCACTGATATGTGTGTGTATTTTGTAGTACTACGTTATTTATTCACTTTGTTATCGTTTGTTACTATTATTGGGTTTTTTTACTTTACGTACATGTTTTATAAATATTTGTTTATTTGCATACAAATGGAACTAATAATGTTTTCCCTGTTTTCATTCATTGTTTACCTAGCTCATTCTTTTTGAAATGTTTATTGGTCTTTGTTAAAAGTTTTTTTTTATCATTAGGTCTTATGTAAATTGTTTTTGATTGAAATAAATATTGTTATAATAATATATTATATACATGACCGTCTTTCGTGTTTTCGGCGGTAGGTTGGGTAAAGTGATCTACCCATTATTAATGGCTAACACTAGTATTAAAACTTGGAACGTTATTATGGTAATACACATTACGTAATACACCTAGCAAAAAGGCTCGGTAACAAGAGGTTGTTTTGATTAGTATTCATACAACGGTGTTTGTACTGATTGGCTATTTTCGTGGGTATGTTAATAATTATATACCAGACTTAAATCCCAGAGAGAACACCTAGTTTGTTATGTTATGCAGTGTTGTTTCTTAAGTACACATTAGTAGGGTTCTCCAGTTTGACATCCTTTGGATGAAGATATTTGTGTCCGTATTTCACCACTCACTGACATCCAGGCTATCTGCTGGTGAAGAAGCCGTATTTCAAAATTTCAGCGTGAATTAGGCTCCCTCAGTAGACTTCAAGGGGATATAAACAATTTATAACTAGGTACAAATCTACGAATTCAAGTTGTCTCTTTTCAGATCTACCGATCGGGAGAAAAAGGTCAAATTGGAAAAATAATATTAACTGTATTGGCATTTATATCAATAGGATTGAAGATTGTAAGGTATTAAAGACTTTGAGAAAGATACGGAGTGATTTGGTACTCATCACTGTGACTTGTTTGCAACCATATCAACTTAAGTCCCTAGTTATTGATTATATTGACATAACTCAATAATGATTCCTATGAAAACCAATTTGAAGTCTAACCAGTATAGTATATTAATAAATTATCTAAGAGTTTCAGTTTATCCTTTATGGCAGAGGAATATGTGTGTTTGGTTGTCTGAATTAATATGAGGTAGTTGAACGATGCTTAATCACGGAAACAAAATTAAGTTTTATGTAGTCACCCAAATTGATGAATGTCAGTAGGGAGATTAGTTGGCTAAAAAAAGTTTTACCAGTCTATAAATCATCCCATTCCTAGAATAGAGTACGAAATAAATGAGAATTGAAATAATGCGTTTGATATGGAGAGCCAGTCAGAAGTAACTCAGTGTGAAGGTCAGTCGGTGGCAACCAGAAGTGACCCAAAGGACAAGTGCGTTTCATTGGCTAGGAAATGGGTAAATTTCCTCACTCAAATAGTCAGCTGGGGAGAGGGTTTAATGCGTAGCACACCATGTATCAGTATCAGATATTGGACACCGCCTATCACAACAGCATTGCCTATCGGGACACCAGCTTATTTGAAATTCACTGAACATTCAACGGATTTAAGACTGAGAATTCTTGACGAAGGTGTTCATCGATTTCAGGATCCAAACACTGGTCACCAATGTGATTCACTTGTCGCACGACGTTGCAGATTATTAGCAGTTGGTATAGTGCCACTGGAGACCGACCTAGTGTTTGTTATTAGTTAAGGGTTCATCGTGAGAACTAATTTTTTTGGGTTCGATCCTTGGTGGGATTACGTAATACTCACTGCTGGAAAGTCTCGCACAAGGGCGAATAGGTTGTCCAGTGATACATGGGTTTTAATAGTACTTCAAACGAGACTAATTTGCAGTAAACAGAACCTATAAGTTAAACCACTCTGTAACCCCTTTAACTAGCCTTTGAATGTTCTAGTTACTTGTTTCTTATGACACTGATGGACGAGAAAACTCAGACGTTCTTGATTCCTCTCCTGATTTCCAAGGTACTAAAAGAGAGATATGTTTATTCGATGTAACCTACAAATTAGGTATTTGTTCATTTACAAATGGCTCAGTAGTATTATCACTAGCAGTGATCAGTCGATAAATTTTCATGTATGGACTTACATAATGGTACCCCTTTGGCCTCATTCCAGCGGTTAGTGATTATATGACAGTTCTAAATTTTGCTGACCATTCTGTTTTATTCTCCTCGAACTAAGGTTGGCATTCGAGATGAACCACTGATATAATGACATTTGTTTATCTGGTTTAATGCAAATGTAATGTATATTTCAGTGTCTTATATACTTCTGTTAGGGCCTATCAATATATCACGTGACTAAATGGCCAATTAGAAACACCGGCTTATATGACCAGGCCAATGACGCATAAACTAGTACGAGCAGCTTAGAATCAACTCTGACATAGTAGCTTCTCGCCTAACCCAGTCCGTTTAGTCCAGAACACCAATATCACCCTATGCTATATGAATCATGTATTTCAGACACACTTGGTTTATGTTTACATACAAACAAACCAGACTGCATCATACCGTAAAATAGAAAATAATAATTAAACAAGATCAGGCCAAAAGTGGCTGTGAGTGTGAGATATTGTAATTAGTAAATTGGGAATAACGTAAGATTAGTAAATCGTGTATTGGTGTGGTGTGTGTTACTGATATCGATAGATATAAGTAGTATGTATTACCAATAGAAAGTAGTATGTCTGGCGGCAGAAGGTTAAGAAGATCAAAGAAAACAGAACGAGAACAAAGAATGATTAGTGTGGAAACGAAAGAACAATGAAGTGTGAGACGATTGATTGATATTTTGCAAATTAAGTATTTACTATATGGTTCTCAGATTTTACTAAGATGTTCTGTAATTTTGTGTTCAAATACATTCGATTGTCCTCATTCGTATTCTCGTTCACTACAATAGTAGTCAAATGGAAGCTTATAGTAAAAGGAATATTAGTATACATATAATATAGTTACCTAATAGTTATCCAATAAGAATATATGTAATAATAGTCCATAAATAATTTCTGGCAGTTACCACTCATTTATACTCCGTTAGGATTTAAGAATTTCGCTCATATCTAAAAGCTGGACTTCCTCTTTTCGTTAAGAATCTCTAGAAATCAACAAAAATTTAAAATCCTGTTGCATTTTTAGTAAAGATTCCGAGGGATCGAGTAGACTTACTTTATTGCATTACCAACTATACTAATTGTAGAAATCTTACATTGTGTCGAATATAGCGACCACTCTTGATAAGGTACACTACTATTTTATGTGGAGAAGATTTGTAGCTCAGGTGGATGATTTTGATGGAGTTTTGTTCTCTGAGCTGGATGGTTTGGTCGTGGAGCTTTCATCGTTCTTCTGAACGACATCATCAGCACAAACTCCACTATTTTATGTACCTAATTTTAATTGAAAATGAAGTAAAATAGAACAGACCATTAACAAAATAGTTACCTTTGATAAGTTTTCCTTATTACTGTGAAACTGACCAGTAATTTACTGTAATTAGTTAGTGTTCATCATTAACGGTAAATCATTCATGTCCCCAGCAAGTATAAAAGCCGATTGATTGTGGAAAACTACTTTATTAGGGGATGTAGCTTTAATAAAATAGTCTTCTTTCTCACTGGTTAACAGCAAAATAGGTGGTTTCACCTTTTTTGCCAAAATAATTTCGTGCTGTCTAGGACTCTTACCACTTGCATTATTTATATAATTCATAACATACCATACTAACTTGTACACATTTATATAGAGATTTTTTTCTTAACGTGTTTTTTATAGAAAATCTGTGGATAAGTAATATCAAGATCAGAGAAGAAGTCGATAAAAGAAACAGCAAATTGTACTGAATTATTTTATTAAACATATTGACAATATATATTACCTAGTACTCGTAACTGTATAGATACATTAATTTGTTTTTAAAATGATGAACTCGCCTTTCGTTTTCATCTAAGAACTATCAGTTTAGTTTTTCTGCATTCCATCATGTTAGTGTTTTTCACTGCTATTTAAACTTTGTTAGTATAGTGGTTTGTGATGTGAATTTGTTTATGATTTAAAGATTGAATAAATTAGTATCTAATGAAATGTATATTCTTACTTCTGCATATAGTTTTATTCCTGTTGATCAGTTCAATCATGAAAATATAAGCAAGGTGAAACTACAGAATTCATAAAGTACTGTCAGGTTTTCATTCTTTTTAGCTGCCTTTATACATATTATAACGTTTAACATAATTATAACGTTCAAACATTAGTTTAACGACTCGTTTTGTGCTTTTATTCTTTAATCTGACTTATTTCATAAGGTCAACCAACTTGACATAATTACAACAAAAACATCATATTTCATTGGTTGAAATCGTGAGTCAATTGAAGCTAGACCACCATGGAACATCATGTGTCAAAAAATGTTTGCCTGATAATTTATGAATTATTTTCAGACGTTTATTATCGTGTGAATATTCACTAGTCACCTATAAATCACTATTCATATTAGTTACATTCATACCATGGTTTTATTTAATTTTTTTTTAAAACAAAAAGTATGATTAATATTTGAACGAAGAATATTCTATTCAATAGATTTTCTTTAGGTTCTGCATTATTTCTCTAATCCTATCTGACCCATATTTATTCGGATCATGAATCTTAAACTTTCACTTAACATATATTCTGATTCAAGTTAACATTCTATATAAGTCATATCAACATGAACTATTTTATTTGACAATCCTAAATTTAAATGCTTTAACTTTAAACGATATACTTTGCCCTAAACATGACCATTTTTAGACTATTAATTTGGATATATGAATTGTAGAACCTGAAAAAAATTTATCGAAAAGAATATTCTTCTTTCAAAAATTAGACTTTTAATATGATGGGGATCATGAAACAATTAAAAGTATGATTATTTTGTCTGAACAAATGTAAATTAACTAATAATTAGTATAATCGAATCACTGGAATTTTCATTATTTAAACACAGATATATTATAGATAACATAAATCTGTCAGTAGATGTATTTGCTCGCAATATATATATATATATATATATATATATATATATATATTATATATATATATATATATATATATATATATATATATATATATATATATATATATATATATAGGTCTACAATGTATTTTTTTAACATACTTTTAGGTGTAAATCTTCATTTACGAATAATCGATATCTTGTTGTAATCAGATATGAATAAAAAGTGATCGTTTAATTTGCATTACATATGAATAACTATGCAGTATTTATTTGTCACATATTTTGCAATCACTAATTTTCATTCGTAAAAATGTTAAATTGAAATTTGAAAAGAAAAAGAAGAAAACTATTTTACCGATTCTAGTATCAGATTTTATTGTAAACGAAAATAAGTTTATAGAAAAATTTCAGAAACTTACAATGGTCAAGCTTGATAAGACTTAAACTAAATAAGATTCTACTAATTTGTAATTAATGCAGAATATATAAAAATGGATACGCACTGTTGAGGAGTCCCATGCTAGGACGAAACGGCCGTCCAGTGCTTCCAGGTTTTCCACGGTGGTCTAGTTTCAATTGACTCATGATTTCAATCTGTGAGATATAAAAATGAATTTAATTCCCAATTGTAAATGGTTCTTCGTAATGAATGAATTTTTAATAAAAATTAAACTTTAAACAATTTATCAACATCTAATTAATGTACTTAGTTAGCCTAAGATATATGTCTTACTGAAAATAGATCCTAAATTAAGCTACCGGTTCATTTGTCAGAAATATGTATTTTGATATTGCGAAAGCTCATATACTGAATTATAATACTGTAAATAATTATATTTAACGTTTTAATACACAGAGATTCATGAGAAAATTGTTTATCTTCTAGAATAATTTCCATGACAATAAGCATCATTATGGTAGTTTAATTTAAAATTATTTATTATACCTGTAGACTCTGTAATTATTTTTTACCTACTGTCAGAGATGAGTGTTTTAATTTTTTGTTACATTCAAAACCAGTAATTAACAAATTCTAAGATTTTTTTGTTCCGATTATGATATTTTGGTTAAAGTCATACATAAAGAATCGAGATTTGGAAATAAAAATTTTTGTTTGTTTTTTCTGATTTAAAACCTTACCACTTTTCTAGATCAAATGATGATAGAATGCCTTGTAATGTTTGTCGGTTTCCCCCTAATTTGATGGATAAGTGAGAAATCTTGATCTATACTAGTAAGTATTTCGATTCATACTATTTCATTTACTTGAGTGTAAATTAAATAAGTCCATCAAGAGAAATATTATAATTGTATGAAATGTATTTCATATGATCTTACAAATTTATCGCATATTATTACATTTAGTTACATTATTTCCTCATCTATACTATTGTATTTTTATATAACTAAACACCTTTAATAGAGTAATTCCATTTCATGCATGTGTTAAGGCTTCAAATAATGTATGATTATGTGATAATAAATTTGTGTGATAAAAAATTATCTACATGCACTTTAGTTCCCATAACATTAGTATCATCAACTTCAAAATGAAAAGCAGAATGACCTTTAGATCTATGAACAAATCAGATATATATATATGTATATATATGTATATATATATATATATATATATATATATATATATATATATATATATTTGCCATTAGATTGTGTGCTTTATAATTACAAAACAGAAAGTAGCCAAAAATCATTGATCAATTTCATAAGATCAAGTTCTGACTCATGATCGAAATTTTTTAGATACATTGATGAAAATTTTTGTGGTAATTTGATATTGATGTTTTGCACCTCTGAATCATTTCACTGACCTAATTGATAATAACCGTATTACAGTTTGTGAGCCTCAACCAATGGGAAGAGAGATTTTACCTAGTTGACCAATCCAAAGTACGGGTATTAAAGCACCTTCAAATGTTAGCACAAAACGTAATCGAATCCTCATTAGGAAAGTTAATTTGTGGTTATTACATAAGTTTCAGGTTATCTGATTGATTATAAAGCCAAATGAAATGAATCTAGAGAATGGGATTTTTAACAGTTCACAAATAAGTATTAATGACAACCTTGAATGTAAACCAACCTTACAAAATAATCTTGAGCTGAAAGTTACTTCTCAGTCTCAAATGACATTAAATACGACATCACTCTATATCAATGTAAATGAAGACACAACAGATATGCCAATGAACTTTAATTTAAATCAGACTGAGTGTATTTGTCAAGTACTCTATAATAACCAGGAAACTGATCGGTTGAAGACATTTCTGTCGAAAATATCAACGACTACAATGTATCATAACAATGAAGTCATAGTGAAATGCAGAGCACTAGTTTTATTTGTCAATAAAGAATTTACCGAATTATTCAAAATTTTAAATAATTTTCCATTTAGTGTTTATAATCATAATGAAATGCAAAATTTATGGTATCAAGCTCAATATGCACAAATAGAGTTATCACGTGGTCATCAGTTGAACGCTGTAGCCAAATATCGTATACGTAAGAAATTCCCACCACCGAACACAATATGGGATGGAGATGAGGTGACGTATTATTTTAAAGATAAATCAAGAAATTATTTAGCTGAACAGTTTGCGCACAATCCATATCCGTCTATTGTGGAAAAACATTTCATGGCTAAGAACAGTGGTCTTACTATAACACAAGTATCAAATTGGTTTAAGAATAGAAGACAACGTGATAAAACTCTTAATAACTTTAAAAGTAGATGGTAAGTGCAGTTTTTTCTTTATACTCCAACTTAAGGGATATAATTTGTTCTTATTACCCCATGATAATGTTACTAAGAGGAAAATTGGGCTTTATGGTAGGCATATTATCCCAGTTTTTGTCTCCCCAAAGAAGTTATCGCTTTCATCTATATTAAACCTGATTCCATAGTATCAGGGCTCACTTAATTGATGAGGAGATCAATTACAGAATACTGTTTAATATTTATGGACTCCAGTAGGCTTGTGATATTTTGATTATCCTTTAGACAGTAACTATCAGTCTTCAATCGTCAGTTAGTTAACTCCATATCCCAATAGAATAACAACCCATTAGTCTTAGTCCTTCTGATTTAAGAGTGATGCGATTTGTAAAATTGTGTATTTTAAAGGTTGGAGTTAAATGTGCCTAGTATAGATGATTTTCAAATGAATACAAAACACCATCAGTGACTTTTGGTTCCGAAGGCTAAGTGAATCTCCAACTCAGGCAACAGTCTTAGAGAGAAGAAAGATTTATATTAAAGTGCCTATAAATAATATTGCCTGCAGGGTGAATCCATTCTTTTTTAACATTAATGATGTGCTCAGTTTTTGGTAGTTTAAACTGAAATTCTTAAGTAGATTTAATACGTCATAGTAATGATGTACATAATTTCATCTTAGATTAACCGATACAACCGCTGCATTGGTGTATTATTGATATTAAACTGGAAAAAATTATTTAGAGTTTTTACTGAAGCTAGATGGTGTTCTATTGCATTTACAAAATTCACTTCTGTTACATTTATCATCTGCTTATTTTAGTTAAATATTGGAAGTGTTAGGCTACTACTGTTGACTTTTCTGTACAAGTTAAATTGTGATAAATAAATAAATCACTTTACAGATCCGAAAAAGTCATCAGTTAAATGGAGAGTAGAACTAAAATTATCATTTAAAACACAAATTCGTTTGAACTACTACCTTTTTTCTGCTGATATATTATGACAAGCATAATATAACTGAGAATAATCTTATCGTTGATTTAAAGCTGAAAAATGTTTCTCAGTGTATATAGACTTAACTATTCACAAATGACAAAACAATGAAAGTTTTGTACCCACTCATGGAACGATCTGAAAGTACTCTAAGTTGACTTAAGTATGTGAGTGATACAGTCTGACCATAAATTGTTAAGGAATTTGAAAACAACATAGCAAATAATCTTCAGCATCCCGACGTAAATGTCATTCTTCGGCATCAAATTGTTCTTTTAAATCGCTGTTGAACAGTTTCACAACTTATTTGGTTTTCAAGTAATACTTTGCAACCATAAACTCCATTGTAGATGATAAGTCTCATTTATTTTTAGTAATTATATAACTCATTAACCAAGTACAAGTTAGTGTACTTGGCTTTGAATCACACCATATGATAGCTAAGGACACTAATTGATTACCTAAAGTAGTCGGGAAATAGATATTCAAATCTTTAGTTCAGTGATTGAAAATTAAGCGTTTTAACTACTAGACCACTTATACACTATATATATATATATATATATATATATATATATATATATATATATATATATATATAAACAATAAGATCAAAAAAAGTTTTCAGTCTAAACAGGGCTAAAGGATTTAAATTATTTATAATAGTTGGTGAATAAATAAATAAGGTACTTAAATTGAAGTATCAGATTGTTTTACATACAGTGAACAAACTGTCATTTTCAAGGTTGTTGTTGTTGTTGTTTAATTTTTAGTGTTTACATTTTCATTTGTGATTGTCAATATAATCAAACATTTATTCATAATTGAAAGAATAATAATGATTTCATGATATTTATCATTTTATAAGAAATCTGATTATTTTGACTGTAAAAGAAGCATTTTGTTTTTCGTGGTGAAACACACCTATTTCTTATTTAGAATTTCTAGTTACACTGAAATTGTCGATGAGAAAACACTTCTAAAAAATTATCTAAACAGAATTAGGACTCAGTTTTTTTCCCTGGAACATTGGTACTATTTACAGATTGGATATTAATCATCAAACGGATTTAAGGGCAAAATATATGTTAGTCTTATAATGTCAAATGCCCAACATAAGGTCATACAAAATTAGATCTTTCTGACTTGACCAATTGACGTAAGTGGTATCCAACCGTCTAAGAAGCTTGACTTAGTTCTCTAGGACCGATCTAAATATACTGTAGTGTCGGTTACCATGTTAAGCTCATATAATTTATTCTAGCTTGTGGATAAGTCAAGTTATCCATTCTTCTTGAGTCACGCTTTGACTTTGTCAATTGTTCACTTATCAACCCTGACTGATTTTATGTAAGCGTATGTGTATGCACTTATCCTATTCATCACATGTCTGTAACCTACTTTTATCTGGCTATAAATACTGATTAACTTTTGATTAAATCGAGTTGGCTTACACGCTTTCTCCACTAAACGTCCTTTCGTCTCGCTCCGCTTTCTCTTCTTCGCTTTATTCGCTGCGATTCTCTGATTGTCTGTTCCGTATTTAAACATCCATTCTCGTATTTGACTCATTTAATTCTGCTATTCACCAACGCGAGTTAAGTCGATAATTTTATACGAGGATTGGCGATATGTATATTTTGACAACAGTCATTTATACAATCCAATTGGGATCAGATCCCGGACCACTAAAATACAAGTTTGCCTGAAATGGTTAATGTGCGTAGGCAGTCAGAGAAAGTTTACTCTTGGATATTTATGTCCAATTCTGGCATATGTAATCGACTTATTAATCAATTAATAATTGAAATAACTGTTTACCAGAGAATTTACTGTTTAATAATTTTCTAGATAGAGGTTTAATTTCTTCGAAATAGTTGTCACCCATTTCTTTTAAGAAACTATCCTAAAATAACATGAGAGGGCATTTTCGATTTTTCTATTGCAATTTTTCATTAGCTATACATTACAGTTTGTAAATCGAAGAAGTGATTAAGTTTTTGAATTATTTTTCTAACGAATAATTTGAGTGTGACTTTACAATGTAATTTGAAGCGAATAAAATACGATCGATGATCATTGTTAACTAATTAATTTGGCGCAATCTGTTCCTATAAAATTTGAATATGGTCTTCAGAAGAAAAAAATTTCATATTATAATCTGTAAGCCGATAGACAGAAAATTTTATACCTCATAGTTGTGTATTTAAAAATTAGTACTTGAATCTGAATTGGGTTAGTGACTTAAATTCACCCTCCTTTTATTTATTACATTATAGGACTCATACTGGAAAATGCTCTAAGAATTATATCATATGTTGTTTATGTACATTGGAATCTTTTAATTATGTGTTTAGGGAATATCAGATTATGACTTATTTAATAGCTAAAATAAAAACAATTCCAGTCCCTGTCACCAAAATTCTAAGGGAATCAGTGATATATATATATATATAATATATATATATATATATAACTTTCGTTTACCTTCTTCATAGAAGTAAGAGTAACCTCTTTAGCAGAAAGAATCCTATCTAATCGTATTTTATTAACTGAATTGCTTCTTTCATTATTATTATTATTATTATTATTTTATTAATATCACTTCCCCGACCGTAGCTGCTACCTTGACGTGGTGGTCGGGCTTGCCTATCGCGATGACCCGACCGAGCTATATTAGCTGGAACATATGTTCCTGTAGGTTCTACCATGCCAGACATCTTTTGACATGGCGACCCCTTAATTCGTCCCAACGTTGGACCCAAATAGATCACATCGCTATCAGCCACCGATGGAGGGGCTCGATAGAAGACTGTCGCTCATTCTGGAGCACATGCTTAGACTCAGATCGTGCTCTAGTACGAGCGCGTATTTGCCTGCGTCTTACTGGATGTAGGAGAGACGCTGCAAGGAAGCCTCTTAGGGTCCTACTTAATGATAGTCAAGCTAAGAGTATATTTCAGGAACAACTAGGAAAACAGTTAGGCAGCCATGTATGTGATGCCCACCCCGATGCAACATGGAATGATATCCGAAAGGCTGTGGAAACAGCAATGATATCTGCTAGTACGGTAAACTACAAGATTAGGGAGCAACACTGGATCTCAGCAGCATCTATCTCACTGATAGATGCTCGGAAACTCATTCCACCTGGCTCTGAACATAATGAAGAGCGGAGTCAGCTTAAGCGCAAGCTGACGAGAAGCCTACGCAATGATCGTGAACACTGGTGGGTAGCGAAAGCAAGAGAGATGGAAAAGGCAGCGGCAATAGGTAGTAGCAGACAATTGTTCAGACTTGTTAAGGAAACCGGTATTAAGAACCCGACTGTTAGCGAAACAATCTCAGAGAAAGATGGACATATTATTCATTCTCAATCCAGGAGATTGGATCGATGGGCAGAACACGTTAGGGATCAGTTCAACTGGCCTTCAGCCACACTTCGGTTTCCCACGATCTCTAGTCAACCTGAATAGCAAGCTAATGTAGGTCTTCCGACTCTTTACGAAGTTGAAAAAGCCATAGGAAATCTGAAACGAGGGAGGGCAGCAGGCCCTGACAGGTTTACTCCTGAGATTTTTAAGGATGGTGGTTCAGTATTAGCAGTGAGATTAACCGAGGTCTTAGGTAGAATTTGGGAACTGGACTCAATCCCATCTGACTGGTCTCAATCACTGATTGTGCCAGTCTATAAGAAAGGACAAAAGTCCTCTTGTGACAATCACAGAGGAATCAGTTTGACTAATATAGTGTCTAAAATATTAGCTTCAATAATACTTCGACGCCTAACCAAAGCTCGTGAAGAACAGACTAGAGAAAATCAGGCTGGTTTTCGACCTGGACGTGGTTGTATAGACCAAATGTTCACACTACGTCAGGTTCTAGAACACAGACACACATTCAGACGCCCCACAATGGTAGTATTTCTCGACCTTAAGGCGGCATTCGACTCTGTTGATCGTGAGGTTCTGTGGAAGTGTTTGTCACTGAAAGGAGTACCAAAGAAGTAAATTACCCTTGTAAAGGCTCTTTACTAGAACACAACTGGTAGTGAGAGCTTATGGCGAACTGTCATCAGAATTGATTACCTCAAGTGGTGTTCGTCAGGGCTGTCCACTCTCTCCATTCTTGCTTAACTTTGTCGTTGCTGTGCTTTTAGATATAACACTTTGCTCATCTGACTTTCTAGGGGTTGAACTTCTACCAGGAGATTCACTTGTTAACTTGGAATATGCCGATGACATAGTTTTATTTGGTGAAGACGCTGACAAAATACAATCTTCTGACCACTCTAAGAAACAAAGCAGGCATGTTCGGAATGTGATTCTCCCCCTCGAAATGCAAAATGTTGCTTCAGGATTGGGTGGCATCGACACCCGAACTAATGATAGGGAGTGAGGTAGTTGAGCGTGTCGATCTCTTCACGTATCTTGGAAGTCTCATCAGCCCTTGTGGTTTGGTGTGTGACGAAATCTCAGCACGGATACAGAGGGCTCAACTAGCTTGCGTCATTTATGACGTAGGTGAGATATCCGTTTCCCAACCAAAGGATGGGTTTACTGCACAGCAGTTCGTTCCGTTCTACTTTATGGCTGCGAAATATGGCCGATAAGAGTAGAAGATATTCGTAGGTTACTAGTATTCGTTCACAGATGTCTTCGAAGCATTGATCGTATATCCTGGGACCACCGAGTAAGTAATTCAGTTGTTAGGAAACAGGTACTAGGTAATGATGGCAAAGCAATTGATGAGGCAGTGAAACTTCATCAGTTGGGATGGCTGGGACACGTGTTACGTATGCCTAACCATCGACTTCCCCGACGTGCCATGTTTCATGGTGTAGAAGTGGGATGGAAGAAAACTAGAGGCGGCCAAACCAAAACATGGCACAAATCCATGAAGTTGCCGACAAGTGAACTGAGCCATGTTGGTAGGTGTAGACTACCTGGTTGGGATCCGCGAGACGATAGCAACCGATAGTTAGAGACCTTGAATGACATGGCTCAAAATCGTTTGCAATGGCGCAGGTGCATCCACTCTTTGTGTTCTCCCAAATTCTAATTTTCTGAATTCTTCATGTCCCTTTTTTTCTTCTTCCCAAATTTATTTCACTGGACTATACTCTTTGAATGACATCTTCAAACTCTAATCTTTTCGATTACTGCTTATACTCTTACTACCTCTACCACTACGTGATTTGAATCGATAACTGCATCTCTGTGCTAATGTGGTATGGCAACTCGAACCGATGTACGTACGTACGAAGTTCTACGTTGTTACTGACTGGCTGAATATCACTTCACTCTCACACACTAATTCCTATTCATTTTTGTCCTTTTTATTATACTCATCTTCCTTTCTTTATCTCTTTATAACCTCATTTCTATTATGTGGTATGTATGTATTTGGTTCCAACTTGTGCCAATGTTTATATGTTCAAATAATAAATTCAGGAAATATAAAAGCTTTTTATGATATTCAGATTAGATGGCAAGTATTTTTAAAACAGTGAGTGACCATGGAATAAGGATGCATTTATTAGTAATAAAGCTCATTTTAAAAAAAATTCAATGTACTACCATGTTGAGTCAGTCAGTCATTTAAACGATTTGCTATACTATGTCTGTTGTTCTTGGATTATGATATATACAGCTATGATCTTGCTTGAGGATCACTCAATCACGACCATCAACTGAATTCTGTCCGAATATTGTGACTAATTAAGCTGGTACTCTGTCATAAAACAACATGGTTAGTAAAACATTATTTTTATCTTAGCGAAATCTCTATGCACACGAGAGACTAATTCATATCAGAAACAGCTGAACATTCATTTAGTACGGATATAACATATAATAAACCGTATGTCCACATTTGAACATGCAATATTTTTTGTCTTCTTGGTATATTGAAAATACAGCTCTAACAGTCCATAAATTCATAATAACTCGGGATATTTACGTATTCAAAGACATTTATTTTTGAAGTTAAAACTTTTATCATTAAAATATGGAGATTATAGTTGACTTTTTTATCACGAAACTCTTGAATCTGATATCTACCCGTATATAAATGTAGATAACCTTATCGTAAATCCGGCAAGAAATGACTAAATATGTATTATATAATTTGTAAATAGACTCACTTCTTATACAATTTGCGATATTTTCCATAAATTTTACTTCTGAATTTCTATATTGTCATGGTTAATCATTATGTCTTACTTTTATCAGTTTTACCTGTTCTGAAAGTCTGTACCACAAAATATTTGCCACTATATTTTAAACTCTCATATTCGCATCACTAACATATTTTTTGCATGAATTTAGGTCATTATTTTAGTTTCATGCGATTATTGTTGACTTTAAGCACATCATATTCTCCTCATATTTTCTATTACTGAATTTACTACCGGCTTGAATTTATTTCAATACTTATTAAAAACGGAATTCTCGGTATGATTGCCTTGTCAGTTGATTAAACAAATAGTTTGATATTCATCACGAAATGATTTTGTTATTTATGAATTTTTACAGGCCAACATTATTTCAGTAATTGGCCAGATCCTGAAATTTATAATTTAATAAAAAGTTTAATACTTTACGAACTCTTACTCTTATACATATATTAACTGGCATTTTTCACATTATTTGTTTAAGTATAACCCAGAATGGATTGAGTTACCTTCAACCAACTGATTTCGAGGTGTCGACAGAGTTCCATGAACACTTTGAACAAAATACTGATACCCCACTGTATGATGCAAAATTTCTTGAGACAGCTTGTTCCGATTCCAGCACATTGTATTTTGATTATGAAAGGGAACCTCAAGATCGTGATTTCAGCTTCCATTGCCATCAATCTGGAAATTATTCTTCTTCATTTTCTCACCTAAACTCTTCAGATGAAGATTTTTCTGTTACAAGTACAAAATACAACTAGTTTGACTCAGATTTATCTAAATAAAAAAGTTACACAAAAATTTTAATCGATGATCCCATGTATACGGGGAATTTCCATACAATGAAACTTGTTTACAATCAAAAAATGTAATAACAATTAATTGTTCATAAAAAGTGGCTTCTCTTTTCATATTGGCATTTGGTATTATAGAGGGTTATGGAAATGACTAAATTTGCAATTCTGAGTATCAGACGGACATTATTTAGTCATCTGCTGAAAAATGAGAAGTACTAGACAAAAAAGCAACCGTTCAGTGTCATCTGGTTTTTAGTGGTCATCTGACTCAAGTTAATTAGTAATGTCAAACTGTAAATTCAGCGATTGAATTTAACTACTAGTAAATAGCAAGTAGACCGTTCATTTGGAACAAAAATATCTCTTCAGAGAAACTACTTGTGCATAAAGTTACGAGAAAAATGATAAGCCCTATCGCATAACAACTCAAGCGGTCGGAATATCTAACTTGGTGTATTAAGAATTTTATTACATACAGCTTAAATACACACTTTCTTGATTCAATCGTATGATGTTGCTGTCACTTGAATATCCAGTTGTGATTCGGAAATGTTTTATCTGTGAAGTAATCAATAAGGAGAAGTAGCTCATAGGACAAATTTCACATTGTTTTCAGTGCTTCACTAAACATTATTCAAATTTTAGATGTGGAGGATCACACACATTTGTTCATTCTTGGTCATAAAAATAAAAAAGATTAAGAAAGTTTATTGACATGAAATAGCTTCAAACACGTCTACAAAATATTCAGAGGATATAAAAGAAATTTTCAGTACATCGAGGTTTGGTATCGAAATGAAACAGATATGAGGGTTCCTGTCTCACACGGCCTATTTTTCCTATTCCCATACTGTGCGTTATTAACCGTAATTTTATTAGTAACTAGAGGTACAGGAAAAGGTATTTTTGACAGGATCACATTAATTCATTTGGTCTACCAAATGTTTTTGTATAACAAATATGCTTGTAATCAGAATGAGGTTTGTGATGTTAACAGGAGCCCTGAAGACTCCAATGGAACTTATCTTTCATATTTCCTTAAATATGGCAGTCGGTTTCCCAAACAACAGAAACATATTTTAATAGTTGAATCCATGGGTCGATGTAAGCTAGACCACCATTGAAAACCTGGAAGCACTGGACGACCGTTTCGTTCTAGTATAGGACTCCTCAGCAGTGCTCATCCACGATCTCGTAAGCGAGAAGCCGTGACCACTGGAGTCTAATCCTTGTCAGCTAGAGACAGGTATCTACCTCAGACAATGGGTGAATGGTTGCGCCACCATTCATTGATCGAGTGAAAATAGACATTAATGTCATTAGGTACCGGCTCAGTGGTCTAGAGTCTAAGTGTTCGCGCGCGAAACCTAAGGTCCAGGGTTTGGGTCCCTCATGCGGGGTTATGGGTTCGCACTGCTAAGGAGTCCATACTAGAACGAAACGGCCATCCAGTGCTCATAGGTTTTCAATGGGGATCCAGCTTACATCGACTTATGAATCCAACTATTAAAATATATTTCTGTTGATTGGGAAACCGACTGTCAGATTTAAGGAAATATGAAATATAAGTTCCATTGGAGTCTTCAGGGCTCCTGCTAACATTTCAATGCTCTTATTCATGGATTACACTAAACAACTGTGAGCACAAAATTTAGAAAAAAAGATAGTGTTAGACGAAGGAAAATTCATTCAACAAGTAAACTCAATGAGTAGTAACAGTAATCTAGATCTCGAATGTGTGACAGTATTTCTGATTGATGTCTAGCTATTATTCAAATGCAACTTGAAGGCAACATCAGGATTAACCCCTCAACCATGGACGTACTTAATAATAATAATAATAATAATAATAATAATAATAATAATAATAATAATAATACAAACTTGTGAAGGAAAAATATCGTGAATTTTTTTATCTTTACGGACATTCGTTAATAATTTTACTTGGACTATACATTCTAAGAATTCAATCACTCTAGTCATAAAATGATTAAAATTCTAGGATCTTGGTAATTAACTGTCTGACTTCACTCATGTGGAAATTAACTCACGATAATTGCTCAGGCTTTGGTTTTGACTGAAGATGCAACAGTCACGTCCTCAATTTATAACTGAATATGGGATATCCTATTTATTGCATTCTATCTCACTTCCATGAATATAGTGTTTAATTTGGTAGGTTCAGAGATATCATAGTTCCTCATGCTACGTATGAAAGTGGGTCACAGTGTGAACACCAACATTGTTAGGTAGGCATATCCAACTAACGAGTTCGAAATAGGACGGGACGAGAGTTCTGGATTCTAGTGTTAAATATACAAAACGGGAAGAATGATTGGAAACTATCAGATTCATATAATGCTGCATCAAAATGATGTAAGCATTGGACGGATTTAATATATGTATTATAATTTATCAATTGAAAAGTTTACTGAATTCTGTCTACCTATCGTAAAGATTTTGACAAAATTTCATTTTGTCATGACCTTATTCAATTCTGCAAACGCTTTATACTACTTTTTGTTAGTAAGTAGAAAACGCATCTTACAATAAATTTTCATCGTATCATTTCAGTCAATGAGTAACTTCATGAATAGGTAGAGATGGGATAAATATAGTTATGGTACACGTATAATATAACTCTATAATAAGCAGGACACGAGTAAACACCCTTGATCCTGAATACTTTTAGCCTGATGTTTATATTTCTGTGTAATATTAGATAAGAAAAAATCCTTTGAAAGTTAAGAATTTTAGGATCACTAGATATTTCTGAATTACATCGAATACTGAATAAATTTTGCGACATATAAGGACCTTGAGTAATCTAGGTGGATCACGGAGATTATATAGTAGGAGATTTCAGCTAACTTACATGCAATACACCGAAGTTCATCCGATTCTCCATATAAAGATTATGGTTTCCAAAATGTTACAGAATCTATTCATTTCTGTTTATTACTATTTAAATGATATTCTCATAAAAGTGAACTATCAATCGTTATTTAAATTTCTTCGAAATACTGATATTCAAAACATTTCGATATTGCCAGGTACACGATATGTAATTTTTGGTAGATATATATATATATTAAAGGTTACATTACTCATTTTCAAGAAAAATTCGTTATTTTGACTAGACTCTACGATACTAAACGTAATATCGAGAAAAATCCAGTCTATTATCGTGAATCTGAATATATCAGTGTATTGAGAAGGTAACACTAGTCTGTGTTGTGAAAACAAACATATGCATTCCATAATAGTTTGTACATGCTTACAAATACGCAAATATACAGTCATTAGTGTATAGACTCATTTATTTTCCAAGTTATGTCTATCTGAACAAGAGAAAAGAAAACAACAGTATGTTCTTGTTTTTCGAATGTTCAAATCGGAAATCCGGACAATTCGTTTTAACTATTGGACATTATCACATATATAACGAGTGAGAAAAACACATCATTAAAATAACATAACACACACTTATCTCTTACTCTAGTCGACACGCAACACAACAAGCATAAAGTAGAAATTCCGCTACTCATTTTACAAGTAGTTATAATAATAATAAGAGTAATAATAATGATAATGGTCTATAAATATTTAGTTAAGGTCAGGATAACTTTTCAATACATCACTTTACTAACTCATCATTTGATTGTATAGAAAATCTAAGTGAGAAATTCGAATATTCTTAATTATCATTTGTTTTTTCATCGTTTGTTTTTTATTTGTTTGTTTATTTTAACTCCATTCTTAATATAATCAAAATTTTCCGGTACAGTAAATGCCAATTAACCTTAAAGTGGACTACATTAAAATTATTTTATGTTAGTTCTTGAATCTTTTATTTTCTGTTCACTTAGAAAATATAAAGGGAATGGCAGTATATTGTTGAACGACACATTCTTTTTGAGTTTATTTCTTTTTCCCACATATACACAACCAAACACATTTACTCGTTTATGTTTGTCGAGATATGCTGATATACGTTAGTGATATTTTTGTGGGATGTATATATTAGTTCTATCCATTATGGTTTGTTATAACATTACTAAACAAGTGAAACTATTTGCAATAAATGTAACTGAAAAAAACAATCAGACAGTAATCCATTATTTTTATAAATTTCTAACTTAAATGAACTAGGCTGAAAGTAGATATTATTCAAGTGTAGAACTTACATAGCTAAATACTAGATGAGTACTAGATGAATAACACGTTTAAAGAAATTTAATAACTTGACTCCAATTCCGATAAATAATTGTGTTTTTTTTCTAACATTTTTCGATTCTTACATTTTTGCTTTGAATTTTGCTCTGAACATGTTATTCAGTTTTTATAATGAAAAAGAAATGTCCATATTTTTACATCTGTAAACCTAAAGAATTACGATCGAAACAGATGCCCTTAAGACCTAACCAATAAAAAGTTTACTTTGACTTGGATGGCTATTGCAAATAATCAGATTACAGAACAAAATTCAGTTAACTAAATAAATAGTTTTACAGTAGAATTACTCATTCAATTTTTTTTTCATAAATTCTACGTTGAAAGCACTTTTAAATTATTTCATATGGTTCAGTGGGACAAAAAAAACGCTTAGAAGTATCTGAATCGAGGAAATATGCAGTGGTTTAGTTTTGTGATTTACCAAACAAAGATTTTGTAGTAATAGCCTATGATAAAAACTATTTTTAATCTTCAGTAAAGTTGCAAGTATTTAAACTCTAAACTATGGATTTTCTGGCACTGTTGCTATCAGAACATTAAGTTTGTTGGGGAGACCCAGAGATTTTCTTGAAAGAACCTCAAAGAGGAAACACTTCGTCCAATCAGCACTCAATAGATGTTTCTCAGAAACAACTAGAAAGTGACGAGTCATGTATCACATTTCTGATTGGATGATTACCTATCCTACTACTATGTTTAGTAGGGTTCCAGAAATTTCCACAAGCGCAAGACCCTCTGAAATGCTATGAATACCCTCAATTTTCTGTACATAATCTAACCTTGGGGTAAAGCGTTCTTTCCATA